CCCTGACCCCTTCACAAATCCAGTCGGCATTGACAGTAATGTTAAATAATATGTTTTTACCAAGATAGAAGTATCAAATTTGTACAATGGGTTCTTTTAAGATAGATAGAAAAACGAAAAAGTTTGATTTCTGTATTTTGTAATTCATGGTAATTATCCCAATTATAAGTTATTTAATCAAAAGTTTGCCACTTAGAAGCTTAAAGTTTCGATCGCATGTTTTTTATTAGATAGAAGAAAAACTAAAAAAATTTTATTCACATATTTTGTGAGTATTGGAGAAATTAGGGGTATTTCGCTTTATTGACAGTAATGATAAATAAAAGCTTGCCACAAAGATAGAAATCTCAAATTTCAACCACATGTTTCTTATCAGATACAGGGAGAAGCTAAAAAGTTTCATTTTAATATTTTGTAATTATCATGCCAGGGTAATAAGCCTATTAAAAGGCAAAACCCTCATTCATCACTAATTCTACTACTTCCCATGAAGATAGAAAGCTAAAATTAGTAACATTCTTTATGAGATAAATCGAAATACTAAAAAAGTTTCTCTTTGATGTTTTGTAATTGTTAGGGTAATCAGGAGGTAATTAGCCTAAACAACAGTATTGCTAAATAACAAATTTTTACTGGGATGGAAGTTTCCAAGTTTTGACCATGTGCTCCTTTTCAGATGTAAAGAAAAACTAAAAAAATTTCCTTTTAATATTTTGTATTTATTGGAGTAAAAGGAGTAATTACCCCAATTGAAAAATATGCTAAATAAAAGTTTGCCCCAAAATTCAAGTCTGAAATGTTGGCTCCTCATCAGATAAAAGGAGACACTAAAAGTGTTTCATTTCTATGGATGGTTGACCATACAAAGCTAAGCGCAGGTAGCTCTTGCGGTTTTAAATTGGTTGTGAGACTTCCAGGTTACTACTTGCGACTGATTTTTACACCTAAGCGTGAAAAAGTGTACCACCCAATATTATTATACTTGTAGTGTTTTCAACATAACATGATCTTTCAATCTAACTTTCAACGAAACAAACAACAAATGAATTGGAAAGACTCTGCGAGCTTGCTATGATGCTGCCCGAAAAATAACAACCGGTGTTATTTTACACAAATGCAGCCAAATAAAGGATAACATTCAAAATATGGCTAACCTTACACTTTATTTATTCTGTGATATTAATTTTGTTAAATTTGTTTTAGGATCACGACCTGTTAGAATTTATAAATTACATTAAACTTTTATGAATGGTGAAATTAAGCGTGCATTTAAATACAAATCACAATAACAAAGCTCCCCTGAGTATAATGGGAATCTGGCCTTTTCACGTTCCATTTTTACTGATGAAGACTTTGAACCTTCTTCTGTAACTGTTTTGCAAGCTTCTGTTAATTCTAGTGAAATTCTTGGTGTGGATTAAATCATTGAAGAAAGATGTAAAATACATTGTCTCCCAAGTACTAGTAAAGCAAATCGTAATTTTTGTACACCAATGAGGTCAACTGAAAGTAAACCTAATGATCCTAGGGTAATAACAACCATATATGTGAGTCCTTACCCTAAATCTATTATCATGGCTAAAAAAAGAGGTTGGACAAAGGGTGTAGGGTATCTACCACTACAAAATTACAACTACAATTCACTAGTATATAAGACATGTTAACTCGAATCTATGGTGGGGTACCTTTTCATAGATGACGGTTGAAATGGTCTGTTTCTTCCCTCCCCACATTGGTGACCTTCGGACGTGATGTGTACATGCCTACCTTGGCAGAAACGCCCATTTCGATCTGAACACGCCTACTTCGAGCAGTTCACATTGAACAGTTGACTTGCTACTTGTGACTGCGACATTAACTAACTCTTAGCGCTGTTGCTGCCCAGTTTCAATCATACACAGCGTAAAAGGTATCCACTCGACTGCTAAAGGCAACACAGGAGCAACCACGTCCGTGAGCTTAATACAGCTCTCACAATCAGCACTCAAAAGTACGATGATCTTAGTACAGCTCTCCCGGCTTCTCACAAAAAACAGCAATGAATCAACTAGTGGCATCCGTTCATCGAATTCTATCACAGCTAAAATTCTGATGGGGGAGTACTGTAGGGTATCTACCATCTGCCACTACAAAATTACAACTACAATTCACTAGTATATAAGACATGTTAACTCGATTCTATGGTGGGGTACCTTTTCATAGATGACGGTTGACATGGTCGATTACTCCTCTCCCCCACAAGGGAAAGTCCAAAATATTGACTGAAACACCTGAGGAAAACCGCATTCGAGAAGAAACCATTAGAAGATAGGAAAAAAAGAGAAAATCAGTCTCAAATGAAATTAAGCTCAAGTTAAAACCGTCAAAAAAATTATTATTTGTTGAATTTTCTGAACGTGAGTAGGCAGATGACAATTCTTTACACGATGAATCAGAGTGCGAAGAGTTTTTGACGCTTTCCACTACAGGATATTGAAGAATAGATGGATTTTGAGGTAACTGATGATACAGTAATATAGGTTAATGACTTTATTCTTGTTGAGTTTTGTGGAAAGAAGAAAAAAGTTCCATTAGTAGGAAAAATTGAAGGGATAGAAGAAGACAGCTATAAAGTAAATTTTATGAGAAAGAAGGAAGATTCGTGGACATTTTGTTTTCCAAAAAAAAGAAAAAAGAAGGATATTAGTAGTATAGAAAGAAATGACATTGAAATGAAACTGCCTCAACTAAGTTTAAGCAGAGGAACAGCTCTAGCTGTATTTTCCATGACATTCCCAGTAATTTTTAATTTAATTCAGGACAAAATAATGTAGATGAGACCTAAATCAATCCAATATGTTTATTCATTATTTTTATTATTATTTTATGAATAAAGTTAATTTTTCAAAATGAATGACATTGTTATGTTCTCTTCGATTGTTGAAATGTGCCCCACCCCCATTAAAATCTGCCCCCCTGGTGGGGTAGATTTCAACAAAATGCATGGTTCACTAAATATGTAAAATTTGGTATTTTGTCTTTGGCTTAGAACTTTGGAAAAAATTAAGAGGTTACTTTAAATTTAGTAAATAGTAATTAGAACTTAGATTTTTAAAGTAATAAAACTTCCCAACTAATTCTTTAGTAAAAAATGTTGAAAGATGCTCCCCTCTCTGCTGCATATTTTAACACCTACTGAACTTAGGGATGAGATTTTTCCACTTTTTACGCTATTTTTTCTCAAATTTTAGCCTTTTTATCTATAACTTCGATTCTCTAAAAGTTTTTTTAAAATAAATATTTCACTTTTTCTGGAAATTAAGTCGTTAAAATAAAATAATTTTATCTATTTCCGATTTTCAAAGATAAACAGAAAATTCAATCTATGTAGCTGCCAACCCTTCCGCATTTTTACTTATTTTAGCTATTTTCTCCGCTTATACATGCAGAAAATAAGATTTTTCGTATATTTACCCGCCCGCCAGATAGCTCGTACTTTCGTAATTCAGACGCCTCAGACGTTACTTATTTTAGCTATTTTCTCCGCTTATACATGCAGAAAATAAGATTTTTCGTATATTTGCCCGCCCGCCAGATAGCTCGTACTTTCGTAATTCAGACGTCTCGCTGCATCCTGTTTGCTGGTGCGAAAACAAACGAAATAATAAAAGCGGTGGATTTGCAGTGAAAATATTTATTTGCTCATTGAATTAATCTTGTAAATTTTTATTTATTATGGCTAAACAAAAACAATACAAACAAGCCTTTTAGAAATCCCAAGTCCAGAATGTGCTAATATCTTGCTTCTTATTCATGTGATTTTAATATCAAACATCGATTTTCATATGTACTTGATTTAAAAGTTGAGTATCACGATTCTTATTCACGCGGTTTAAATATTGTACATTTCGATTCTTATTTACGAGATTAAAAAATCTAATAGCGTTATTTGTATTTACGCATTTTTAACATCCTATATAGCAATTCATATTCATGCGATTTTAAAATCCAATGTCGAGATTCGTTTATGCGGTTGTATTATTTTCGATTTTCGTATTTATATGTGATTTAAAAATTAGACATTGGGATTCATATTCACGTGATAAAAAATTATGCATCGTGATTCATATTCATACAATTTTAAAGTTAATCAGCGGGATTTATAATTACATGGTTTAAAAATCACACTTTTTTGTCACATTTTTGGATATCATAGCCTCTCTCTCTCTGTATATATATATATATATATGCAAGTTCAAAATGAAGACATAGCAAAGGAAAATTATAGACATATGAAAAAAAAGGGGGGGAATAATAATGAAAAAAATAACAAACAACTGATTTAGAAAAAAGGATTAAATTTAAAAAAAACCCGAAAAATAAAAGATATAATCTTTTCATCAGCCCACACGATTANTATATATATATATGTATGTGTGTGTGTGTGTGTGTAGAGTTTCAATGCCATAGAGTAATAACTGCGAACATTGCATCATCCAACATCACGTAAAACTTTAAGATCGTTGCATCATCCCTTTTGTCATTGAGAGGTGCCAGCCAGTCCTGATGGGAAAGTCCCAAAGGGGAAGTCTCAAATTTATAGTTAACTCTTGACTTTATACCATAGAACAATCTAATTCTGATTCACATGCGATTGGCGACCATTGCGTGCAGGCAGCTCTCACCAGTCATGTCAACGTTAACTGTTATATCCTTCTTTCCTTTTATTTCTATTAAATTGTTATGTTTGTTAAATTATCGTTGTTATTTAATTTAATGCTGCACTAACTCCCCTATATATATATATATATATATATAAATATATACATTCTTGGATTTCCTCTTTTTTACTCTCTGACTAGTCTCATCCCTGTGAACATATAATAAATAGTGGTTTTTAATCATATTTGAATTTTATTTTAATACAAAATGTATTAGCCTCTTATATATTACATTTTATTCAAGCTTAAACAAGTAAATATATCTATTATGTCTGTAATAATGCAACCTTCGTATTTTAGGTTCTTGAATTAATATGTACCAGGGAAGCAGGAGCTGTTTTTGATGCTGCTGGTTTAAACTGTGTTTTATCATTCATCCGAGATATTGGTTCCTTAGTTCATAAAGATACATTGCATTCTGCAATGGCAGTTGTATCACGGCTTTGTGGTAAAATGGAGCCCCATGATACCAGCCTTGCAAATTGCGTTGAAGCTCTCTCTATACTTTTAAAGCATGATGACAGTTTGGTATGAAATTTTGAATATTTTTTTTTACTTATAAGCTTTTTAGTGTAATTTCATATTAAATTCACTAAGATGCTTTAGTGAATTGACAATATAAATTAAAAAGTTTGTACTCAACTTTAAACATTTACTTGCAATCATTTTTGTATTTATTTTTTTATTAATAATATAATTTATTATTTTATTAATTTTACTATTAATTTTTTTGCTTTCATTTATGATACTATGTTGCAAAACTATTTAAAAAGTTTAAGGAAAAAACAATAATGAATGAGGTGCAAAGACAGCTGTTTGTGATTGTAGAAAACAGGGGGTTATAAATGTGTTATTAAAAAATCTGAAGTTATATCAACTATTAAAAACTATTTTTATTTTTTTACTGACCAAGATTTTCTTATATTAAGAAATATGCCATTTAACATTACAAGAAATAAATTAAGATCAAGAACCTTTGTTTTCGTGCTATAAAAAAAGCTTGAAATGTTATGGCTAACAGAACATTTTTTTAAAATTTCATTTAATGACTGAAAAATAAAAGACACCTTTTTATTAATTTTATATTACAAAATATGGCATTTAAAATTATGAGATTGAAAAAATTAACTAAAAACAACTTTGTGCTGTAAAAAGATATTGAATTATTTGGCTAAAAAAACACTTAGCAATTATTTATTGACCAAAAGCAAAAACAAAAAACCTTGATTTGTTTATATTGTAAAATATGTTTTACATTACAAGAAATGAAGTCAAGAAATTTTGTTTCTGTGCTGTGAAAAAATCTTGGAAGTATTTTGTCTTATCACATTTGTTTTTAAGATAAAAGCCCCTCTTAATTTTTATGTTGACAAGTATGATATTTAATATTAGGAGTAAAAAAGTGAAATGATGAGAGTTGTTACTTCCCAGTAAAAATTTCTAGAAATTTGACCAAAAACTTATTAATATTTCTATAAAAAAATTTTAAAAAATATATAGTTTCAGTATTTTAATAGGTTTATTACACAGCGTTGATTTTCTTCTTTCGATTGACATCAAACATAAGACAATTGGCTCATAAATAAAAAAGATCTAGATATTTTTTATAAACAAGCCACCATTTGTAGCTATGCCATTTTCTTAAATTGAGTCAAAGTTCAAAATGGCCCTCTAATGGCCCTTGGTCTAAAAATTCAGAAAAAATTAGCCTTTCTTTATCAAGAACTTATCTACAAAAAAATTTTCATGGAAATTTGTGTCATGGCAGCAACAAGATTCTTTTATTTTGGTTGATTTAATTTGGAATGAGCCTTATATATACATAGATAGATTAAATATTTGTTGAAATTACCCCCCCCCCCTGTGTCAGAAGGCGACATTGTTGTAAAACAGAGATTTTGCTGAAAATTTTTTCATTCCTTATCTGCAGAATTTTCAGAAGATTTTTCTTTTTTCTGCAGATTTTGTTTTTAAAAAATACCTTTTTCGCTTATTCAAGGGGAAAGAAATGCTCGTATTTGTCTATTCTCTTTTAAGAATAAAAAAATTCCATAATAACTGGCTTCTGCTGGAATTTCAAGTTGATAATACAAAAAGTAATTCTGAAATCCCGAAAATTTAAAAAATAAATTGTTCTGTTCCTTTTTTTTTTTTTTTAAGAACACCATTTCCTACATTTTAATAAAATAAGACTGCTTGAAGATTTTGTTACTAATTCAGATTTGTAGCAAAATAATTAATTAATCAATGTATATTTGTCCCTCTCTTTTTATTTGGTTATGAAGTCAATTCAATATTTTTGATATATTATGCATACGAAAGTTTTAAATTGCACATTTTAGTCGTGACTTTCACTTTATTCCCCACAACTCGTGCTGATTCCGTGGAAAATATGCATATGGTGTTTTTGACATATTTTTCGGCAATTATTGCTTTGCAATTTCATTTATTTTACTACCCCGATCCCTTTCATTGCTTCCATTATTGCTATTGATATTTTCTAGATTTTTTTAAATGCTTAAATTGTTATTACACGCAAAGTTCGAATTGCACGATTTGTAATGATATCATGCAGTGTTTAAATTGTTTTTTTTTGTTGACAATTATTGTGAGGAATTTTCACATAATAAAAGAGAACCCTGATATTTTTTTATATAAATGTGTAATTTTATTGCGCACAAAATTCAAATCACCCTTTGATTATTTATGTTTAATGCATGTATTTTTATATTTTTTGGCAGATATTGCTATTGATTTCGATGTGGTTTTTCAAATTCCGGTATTTCTTATTTGATATTATTTTAATATGTAAAATTCGAATCGGACATTTAAATAATCTCTTTTTGATCCGTGTTTTGTTTCAATTGTTTTTCTGGCAGTTATTTTTATTGCTTCTCTTATAGCTTTTAAAATCCAATATTTTTAATATATTATTTAGTACAAAAAGTGGGAAACACATTTGAGTAACCCATTTTTGAAGAGTCTGAGTGTCGCATAATTTTGTCGTCTATCTTTTTATTGTTAGTTACTACCAAAAATTTTACAATTTGTTTAATGTGATGAGGATTTACAAAATACGAGAACGGAAATAATTAATGGCTCATTCCAAATGAATTTAAGAAAGTGGCATAATTAGGGATAGTAGCTCGTACGTTAAAAATGTCAAAATCTTTTTTATTTCTGATTTAGTTTTCTTAATTTTGGTGTCATTAGAATGGAAAATCTCTGGACTACATAATTAGACTAGAAATGTTAAAAATATTTATGTAATTTAAAAAAAATAATTTTTTATTTTTTAAAAAATTTTTTGGGAAATTATTTTTTCTTCTAAATTTCAGTAATATTTTACTGAAAAGTGACAACTTTCAGCATCTAGAATTTTTTTCTCTCGTAATTTTAATTATATTTTTCATAGTAATAAAATTCAAGCTTGTGTTTTTTCTCTTAAAGAAATAGATTAAGCTCAAATATTTTTTTTATAGATGAATTGACAAAGTTCCCCAATCTTTATCAAAGCAAAAAACATCTCTTGACTTTTTAAACTGAAAAATATGGCATTTTAAGTACAAAAATTGAGATTACGAGACTTTTTTTGTGCTGCAAAAAACCTTGAGAAAATTTGATTAAAAGGCACTTTTTATTTTTTTTAAAGACAAGAAACTTGTTTGTTTTTTTAATATTTAAAGTATCATTATGAGTGAAAAAATTGAGGTGGTGAAAGTTAATACTTCCCATTAAAGAAATCCTAACATTTGCGAAAAAAAATTAAATAAAAATTCTAAAAAAAATATTTTATTACAAATTTTTAAAAGAAAAATTATCCAAAAATGTTTGTCATTTTTATAGTTTAATTAAATAGTGTGGCTTTCTTCTAATGATACCAAAATTAAGAAAATTACTTCATAAATTAAAAAAAGAAATTTTTACATATGTACCATTTCTTAAATAGAGTCAAATTTGAAAATAGTCTCCTAATTGTAGTTTTGAAAATTTTGGAAAATTTTTTTTTACCTGTTTTTATAAATAACTTATACACAAATTTTTTTATTAAAACCTGTTACATGACTGCATTGGTTATTGGTTGATTTAACTTGAAATGAGCCTATTGTATTTTTTTCCCTTTCAGAGTATGAGAATATTGCCCATAATATTAGTATGTGTATTTTTTTATGTATAGATGAAGAAAAAATGTCTTCATCTACATAATAGAATTCCTGATGTGAATTTTCTTTCCTTTATACGTGTAGGACTTTTTTTTGTCACTCTAATTAGGTCATTATCCTAAATTAATATTAAAGAAATTTTTTATTATGCCTAACTCTTACTGTAAAAAGTTGTACAGTTATAATCTGTATCCTTATATTATCGAGGTAATGGAAGTTTTAATTTAAGTTTTGTTAGATTATAGATTCTCTCAGAAGATTATAGGTTTTTATATCTAAGTAGTTTTGATAATTTCATAGTTTTGTATCCTAAGAAGTCCTGACATGTCTGTTGTAGGATAATTCAGATTGTGTCACAGTGAGAAACTTTATGAAATAAAAAATTGTTTTGGTTTATTCTTTTCTTTTTTTTCTATAGAAATAAATCCTATTATATATTCATATTATACCTTTTACTTAACATTCATCAATATCTATGCTGTTTCAACAACTGATAATGTTTAAACTATGATGTTTCAATTTCAAATTTTTTTATATTACATAAAAGGTGGAGTTTCATGTACTAAAATCTTGTTTTATTACAGGTTTCAGATGGAGCATTACGATGTTTTGCTTCTTTAGCAGATCGTTTTACCCGAAGGGGCATTGATCCTGCTCCTTTAGCTCAACATGGACTGGTAAACAGGCTATTAGTAAAATTAAATAGTGTTACATCTTGTGGATCGGTTACGAATTCTTCAACATCTCCTGGCTCACCTGAAGTTAAAACATCTTCAAGTGTATCTACAACAATTAGTTTACTTTCAACCTTATTCCGAGGATCACCTAGCATTACTTATGTTAGCTATATTTTTAAAAATTATGTTAATAATTTTTTTTGTATAAATATAAGATTTGTGCTAAATATGGTTTATTTATAGGATTTGCATCGATCTGATCTTCCTTCTGCCATTGAATCTGCTGTTCAGGGTGATGAAAGGTACGTATTAATTTTGATATGAATATATTTTTTTATTTCATTCTGTTACATTTTGTGTTCCCAGACAGTTGTAGTTATAAAAGGTTTGTCAAAGATTTATGCTATTTAAAAAGTAAATTTTGTGCCATTTCAAAGTGATAATTGCAGTATGTAATAATGCAAGTATTCAGAAAAGGTAAATCACAAAATTATGCTTCATTATAAAAGTAAAAACACCTAAAATAAGTTATACTTTTTATGGATAACTTTGAGAAGTTCTTTATATGGAGAGCATGAGAAATACTTCATTTATATTATAAACTCCTTACCAAACACAAAGAAAATTATGGATTTTAGGTTTTGCAAATTAATATGTAAGAAAGAAAAAGTTAAAACTCTATTGAAATCTTACAAAAGGGGCGTTTTTGTTAAGGCAGTGTGTACAAAACTTCAAACTATTGATAACTGGGGTAAACTGAGTTAAATTGATTAGCAGAGTGAGTTTAAGAGCATTTTTGATGAAAAAAACAACACATTTTAATGTAGACAGTAAGATGTTTCTGTGTGTTGTTTATTTATTTAGTTGTACTATTATCTTTTTGAAACTTATCTTGTTATATATATGAAATTAACTATTAAATAATTTTATTCAGTAATATTGATGAAATGAATAATGTTGTCAAGTACATAAATATACAAGATTAAAAATGGGCATGACATTTAATCAGAACGCAGGAAGACCGAAACTGCATGAAAATATTTTTATCAAAACCTATGAGAACAAGAGGAAGAGAAAGACATGGTATCCGATCACCTGGAAAGTCATGAAAATTCATGGAAAGTCATGAAATTCAGTATTGAACAAAATTTGTCATGAAATGTCATGATTTTTACTATTTTTTAAAAAAATCATGGAAAGTCATGGATTTAGGTCGCTGAAAAATCAAATTTTTAAAATGGAACCCATCTTCTCAATTTCATCGTGTTCTAAATATCTGAATTCCTAACGAAATCACTACTGACAGTCATATTTTATTATTCAAGTTCGAAAAAGATTTGGATCCTTACCGACAGTAGAAGCGCTGTTCAGCACTTGGCTAGCTGGCACAGAGTGAGGGACAATTCTAGCATGAACATCCTTTATGAACTTTTACACCTCTCCAAATATTGTCGAATTCACGTACAATGGATACCCTCACACGTAGATATACCAGGCAATGAAATGGCAGATAGTCTTGCCAAGGCAGGTGCAGCTGAGGCCACTGCGCCTCCAGTGTCCTTTACCTCCTTAGAGCTCTTTTCAATTGCTAAAGCCAAAAATAAATCAGCGTGGCTCACTCCACCCAGTCACAATTGGTAACAGGGTATCAGACCGAGTAGCCGTTTGACAGCTGACAAAGACCGCCAGTCTCAAACCGCCATCACACGTCTCCGCTGTGGACACCTGAAATCACTGAGGTACTCTGGAGGCGAAAAGTGTTTTACCCTCTGTACCAAGTGCTCTTCAGCCCAGGCATCCCCTGAACATCTACTGGACTGCCTCGGTCTTTTAAAACAAGACCTTATAGAAAGACCTTTACTTGTTTTAGACTTTTTGAAGGTGAACAAACTCATGGACCTTGTCTAGCTAGGCTGAAAATGGGGCGAAGAAGATATTTTATTAGAATATAAAATGTCTTTATCATGTTCTTTAAAAATTATGGCGTTCTTTCAAAAAATGAAAGAAAAAACATCATTTCTAGAGCGAATTATCTTTTAAACTTCTGTGATTTAAGAATTGTTATTTTTATTTATTTTTTTTAATCAATTTAAATTTCAAGCCTAAGCACGCCAATCGTTGGCGATTTTTTTTTAATTTCCAAATAAGAACTGACGAATAAGGAGTATTTCTTTCCTTTCTGATCAACAAGAAAAGTATCTTTAGAATATAATTTTGCAGAAAAAAGAAAAAAAAAATTCTTTTGTATTTTTATTTCAGCTATTTTATAGCTTCAACTCTTTCTTTACTCTGTTTTTTAAATTTAAAATCTATAAATATGAAGATGCAGAGTATAACAGTTTTAGTTATAATTATCATTTCAATGAATGTTATTATAATGCTTTTTTAAATTTATTGTTACGTTTTTGTCGGAGAAAATAGTAACNCAATTAGTCATGGAAAGTCATGGAACATCATGAAAAGTCATGAATTTGAAAATCTAAAATGTAGCAGATACCCTGGAAAGACCATCTCTTAGGTGGATCGATAGTGTTGAGAAGGATATCAACACTTTGAAAATAAAAGCCTGGAGGACAGTCGCCAAACAGAGGGAAAATTAGAGGAAATTCTTAGAGAAGGCCAGGACCCAGACAAGGTTGTTGCGCCAGTGAAGAAGAATGTACCTGTCTGAAAACAATATAAAGGAACAGTTTTTTGAAGTAATAATGTGAACTTTGGAAGAAGTATGACTTATCATTTTATGACTCCAAGCCTTTCATTTACATTTTTCACACCATTTCCCACCTTATTACTGTTTAACACTTTCCAAAATTTTTAGCAGTTAAAATTATTTAAGATAATTGTCTACTTTTGCATCAGAAAAAAATTATTGACTTTTTTCTTAAAAAATCTGATTCAATCCTTAATCTAAATCAATTCTACTGAATTAATTCTTCTACTTTTTCTATTGGCATGACAACTCTTTGTGGGCCAAAGCTTTCCCTAGAAACTTCCTCCATTCTGCATGGATTAGCTATAGGAATTTATGGAATCTGCAGACGTGCCAACTCTCCCGCATTTTGCGGGAGTCTCCCGAATTTTGAGTTATTCTCCCGCCCTCCGGAATTGATTTGAAAAACTCCCGAATTTTACTGCGATCGACGGCCAAACTCAAAATTACCTAATTTTTCCGCGAGTGCGAAGGTAAGTTTTTCTTTCAGCTTGAATTCCATCCCCTCTTATCAAACTACCATCTGCCTGAAGCGTAGCTGAACATGCTTTATTTTCCCCCCTCTTCAACGTTACCTCTAAAAACACTCCTATTTCACCCGCCCCCTTACACTGGGGGCGGGTGAAATCTTCCTCTTCTTTCGTGTGGAGTTGAATGCAATGACGTCACATGTCGTTATCGAGTGACGTCCGTTCAGGAGTGGGGAAACTCGTACTCTCGATAGTTGGAATTGATATTGTATCTTGCTGTTTTTATAGTTTTTAATGCGTATTTTTCCACGGTTGGCAACAAGCTCGTAAACTAGCAACGTGATATCAATTATTCGTTTAGTCTTCGTATATTTAAAAAAAAAAAATTTCAAGGATGTCTTAAGTCGAAACGGAAGTATGGATCAATTTCAACAAATCATGTACCAATGACTTTAGCAAGACTTAATTGCGGAGAGCTAAGTCTGCAACTCTTTTTTTCATGCATACAGTAGAGAACCATTTATCTGGTATCCAGATAATCCGGAAAAAAAATTTGCTCGGTTCTCCCGCCATTTTGAACTAAAACGATATAAAAAAAAAAGCGGAAACTGGACTAATCCTTGAAGTTGAGTAGAGGAAAATGTGAGGAAGGGAAGAATTTTTTTCCCCGTTTACCCAGAGAAACGTCATTTCTTCCGCGACCTTGAAGATTTTAGATCTTTATTCTCTTTTAGGTCGTTAAACTCAAAGGAGTGGCATGATGATTTCGTTTGCTAGTTTGATTTACGAGGGGGTGGGGAAAATGCATTGCACATGCATATCAGTGAACAGAAGATGAAAGAGAAAAATATATTTATCTATTTGACATCGATTAATAAAAATAAAATGTTTTTCTTTTGAATAAATTCTGATTCTTTGGAAGTGCGGTATCATTCGCAAGTTTTTCTTGATGTGGAATCACACCTGCTTTAATTAAAAATCGCGTTTTTATAAAAAAAAAAAAAAGGAGAATTGTTTATTAATTTAAGCATACAATTATTTTATGAAGCAGATTGCAGTTTCGTTTTTCTGATTCCACTACGTTTTTTTTTTCTTTTTCATGATAAATTTTGCACTCAATAAAATTATTTGTATTACCAAATTTTTTCATTTTTTTTTTTTTTTTTTTTTAAAGTCCGTTGATCTTGCCTTGTTCTAGGTTTTAATATTTATGCTAGTGCCGTTTTTTAACTATCGTTTCGGTTCGATAATTTTCAAGTGTTGTTTTTATTTAGATTAATAGGTTTTCCTTTTATTTTCCCCCCCCCCCATGAAATATATTGCGTTATTTAATCATTGGTTTTGTTTATTAGTTGATTTAGGAATCGTAATTATTTTTTAAACTTGTTTTTCTTGTCTAAACTTGCAAATTTTTTTATTCTTTTAAATTTTATTTTTCTACAATTTTTTTCCTTTTTAGATTTAGGAGTGCTTTTCTTTTTTCTCTTACTTTAAAATGTGTTTACATTTTTTCCTTGTAATTTGGGTTTGATAAAACATCGATTAACGACACTTTTTTGTCGATCCAGGAAACCGGGAAATTAAGACATCCGGGATAGCGATGGTCCCGAGCATCCCGGATAATTGGTTCTTTATTGTACAGACATTAGTATTGAATTGGTTTTTTAAAATAAAATACTTATTCAATTTGTTTATTTTTTAAAAGTTTTTGTGTATTTTTATTACAGTGTCGGGTTTTTGAATAATGTTTTATTAAGGAAATGGTATTTATTTAAAGAGTATCTACCTAATATAGTTTTGTGTTGCTAAATCTGTGTTTAATTATTTTATTTCCATTTAATATTTTTAAACAATTATTGCTCTATTAGTGTGTAAAATTTCTTGCATTCTTATATTTAATAAATTTTTTACTTAAAATTCCTTAGAAGTGCCAAATGTTGCATACCATGCACCTTTTTTTACCCCTCCTGAAATCTCCTGAATTCTTGTTAGGGAAACTCCTGAGTGTTAATTTTGCTAGGTTGGCACGTCTGAATCTGGAAAGCTTAAATGGAAAAAAAAAATTATTAAAATATATGAGCTACAGGTTATTTCTTTTTCTAATTATTCTTCATTCATTATAGATTGTGGAAAATTATTCTTTATTTAGTATTCTAATTTAAATATTTTATTCATTTTTATTTTTTTCAAAGTAAATATATCTTTTATAAAAATAAGAATATACAATTGAGTTCAAAAAGTAATTATTCCTTTTTTAGATGTGTGTTGGATACTATGCGTCTTGTCGATCTTCTTTTAGTTCTGTTATTTGAAGGCAGAAAAGCACTTCCTAAATCTTCTCAAGGAAGTGGACCACCTGCTAGAGTTCCTAGTCTTCGTCGTGTTGATACAGCTGGGGAAAGAACTCATCGCCAATTAATAGACTGTATTCGTAGTAAAGATACTGATGCTTTAATTGATGCGATTGATTCTGGCGGTAAGTAATTCTGTTATATTCTATTATTGATTTTTTAGTTTGAATATAATATCTCAGAATTATAACTGTTTTCAATTAGAAAATCATTGTTTAATAATAAGAAAATTTTTTTTTGTCGATTTTGATTAAATTTTTCTAAAATAAGCAATTTAAATTACATTACTTGTTTTTCATGCTGCAATGAAATTTCTCCGAAACAACTGTATAACAAGGATAGCAATTATTGATAAATTTTATTATTTGCTTACTTTTTATAAAACCTTTTTTAGGGAGTGCGCAGTTTGTCGATAGGGAGTAGAGTTGTCGGATACAAATTTATAGCCTTTCATATTTTGTCCTAGCATAGAATTTGTGCTTATTTTGCAGTTTGAGGTTATCATAATAGTTTATTTTTGTTTGATTGTGTTGGCATCAACCTTTTGCAAATCGGGATAGGTTTAAGTAAACTGGTCACTCATATTTTCATGTTTATTGCTCTTTCTATCACTATTGTATTTACGTGTTATTGTGAATGTCTTATTTGTCTGGTATCCATTGTTATTGTAAAATTCTAATTTGCCTATTTGATCTGTCATGCATTCTTCATTGGTATTGTATTCATCATTATTAATATGTTGGAAGTCCTTATGGATGCCTGCAATTTCTGAGCTGTATTAATTTGCTTCAGTAGATGACTTTCTGTAATCTTCTTGTGGTCGTAACTCCCTATATGCAGTCATTTCCCCCATTTTTTTTGTAAGTGTGGGAAAAGCCAAATTCTATTATTTACTGTTGACATATTTTTAATTTCTTTTTTACCTGTTACATTTTGCTTTGATTTGAAGTGTTCATTTTTCCTGAATTTTGTTTGAACATTATAAATAAATGTTTCCAGAAAAATCTGTGTTAGTTGTAATTTATTTGCTATACAGTTTTAATGTTATACAATTTGGTAATGCTTTGAAAGATCATCTGAAAAAAATAGAATGTGATAAAAATGTATAGTTTCTTCTATTTTGCTTAGGAAACCAGAGAATTTGTCACCCAGTATAAATATTATTTATTAATTTTGTCAACAGATGACATTACTGACTGGAATTATCTTATAAGCATGGTTTTCTAAAGAACCACAATGCACAGCAAACATTTGATACTGTCAGAAAACAGAATTTGTTGCTGAACCTAAAAAAAACTTCAGCTATAATTACCTGACAGGCTTAGTTTTATAGTTTCTATTATGTTAATAGTCAGCTGCACCCTCTGTTAGAAATCTTCATAACGAATTTTTAAACTTGGTGGAGAAATTTTAGTAAGTATAATGCTGCAAACTGTACATTTTTATTGCCCTTTATTTTATTAAATGGAATTTTGAAACTTGGCACGTTTTTGGGACATCCACACTCTATCATTATTATTATTACTCATTTACTATGCTAGATAAATCCTGATTTTTCTTTTTAATCTTTATATCTGTTAAGGTATTGAAGTAAACTTCATGGATGATGTCGGACAAACTTTATTAAATTGGGCATCTGCTTTTGGCACTCAAGAAATGGTAGAGTTCTTATGTGAACGTGGTGCAGATGTTAATAAAGGTCAAAGATCATCATCTTTACACTATGCTGCTTGTTTTGGCCGTCCTGGAGTAGCCAAAGTTTGTATTATGCATAAAATTTGCTATGATTAAATTATTATTTTTTGTACTTTATCATTAACTTTTTATTACTTGAAAAAGTATAATTCAAAGCTTTTTTTTAAGAAATCTTTTCTATAATCAACTATTTAGAAATTGCATATTTTGTATATTTTTTTGATTTTGTTTAAATAAATTTTTTTCACGCTGCTCTGATTTGATTTTTGCATTTTTGTTAATATTTATGCAATTTTAAATGTAATACTGCAGTGTTACTATCAGAAGTATATTTCTAGCATATTTATATTTATTTACTTTTATACTTGTTTTTGCTATATTAAACCGGTTATTTTTATTTTAAAAAAAAAGGAATCAGAAATTGTTTTTTCATTTGTTGAATTGTTTATGTATTTTAATTTTTAATTAGGTTTTATTGAGGCATGGAGCGAATCCTGACTTGAGAGATGAAGATGGTAAAACACCTTTAGATAAAGCAAGGGAGAGAAATGATGAAGGTCATAGAGAAGTGGCTGCAATTCTACAGTCTCCTGGTATAAAACTTATTAATTATTTTTTTTTTATGTATGCAAATCTGAGTATTAATAACTATCATTCAAATAATAGTTAAAAAAAATTATTTTTCATTTTCATAACAAAGCTTATTAAATTTATTTTATTTTCTGGTCTATTTCATAACATTCTTAAAATGTAAATGTTACCCACTCAAACAGTAAACAGTGTAAGTTATTTTTTTAACCTATTTATAGCCATATAGGATCCTAATAGTTTGGTTAAGAGAGCCGTCCTAAATTTGGACCCCTCACTATCAATTTTACTTTTTTGTACACAATTATAAAATTGGTTTATTCAAAGATAATTCCATACAAAATTTTAATATTTATTACTTTTTAGACCTGATCATTAGATGAAAAGTTATTTAAGTAGTCCATTTATTTTTCTGCTCACTGTACATTTCATGATTTATACAGTATTTAAAAATTTTCCTTAATAGGGGCACTATTCCTGAAGTAGTTTCCTAAAATACTTGGTTTAATAAAGGATTAAAGTTTTGCAAAATTTTAACATGATTTTACCTGATATTTCAACATGATAGAAATGAATTCTTGAAAAAATTCTTTTGAAATACAATGTTTAATCAAAGTTATCAACATTTTGACATGTTAGCAGAATTTTTTTGAACTCAGTTACTTTTTCTTTTGTATAAATAATTAAATATCTAAAATTTTTTATGGATTTTAGTTGATTAGTAAAAAATTAAATTACTGCATTTGTGAAGAAAAAAAAAACGTGTGAAATTAAGTATTTTTTTATGATAAAGTTAGAATTTGAATATTCTCTAGCTGCTCTAAATTTTGCTTAATGAAATACATTTATACAGACTTCATAATAAAGTTTTAGTAGTCTCTTTTTTGAAACAAAATGGCATAACTTTCTGTCAAAGTGTGGCAAGATTTCAAAGAAAATTTTAATAAAAAAAAGCTGAATTCTCCCATTTAAGTGAAAAATAGTTCAGTCTTCACCAGCCTCTGTGTAGTCTGCAAAGTTCAATTGAATAGTTTTTGAAAGGCATTGAACATTATGTTTCGATTAATTTGTACTGGCCAATGAATTTTTACCATCTTATTTTCATTTTCAGCTGTTCTTATATTTCTCATAAGCTTTTTTAAATATTTATTTTCATGATTTTGGATATTTTATTTCCATAAAATGTTATTCTTTTATTGATCAAACATGATCAAAATATTAAATTACTTATTGTTTTATAATAAATGTATATCATTATTATTTATATTTTTGTATCATGCATGTTCAATGTTCATTTTTGTTGAGGTCGTGTCCTTAAAAACAGGGTTTCCCAAGTTTGCTGAAGTTCCTTTAATTCTGGATGCAAATCTCTCTGTAAATGAATGTACTATATTTTTACAATTATATTTTTGCAATTATATATTTACAAGTATATATTTACAATTATATATTTACACATGTATATATTTATATTTGATTTTTTTAAATATAATCTTAAGGTGAATGGATGTGTCCTGTGTCTGAACATACAAAATTAGGGGAAAGGAAACCATTAGAGCATGAGCATGATACTGAACCTAAAGGGGATCCTGAAATGGCTCCACTTTATCTTCAGCAACTTTTACCAGTTTTTTGTAAATTGTATCAGCGTTCTATGGTGCGGTCGGTTAGGTGAGAAGCTTTTAAATTTTTTGAAGCTTATAGAGTATGATGTAACATGCTAGAAATTCCTTTTTATTTTAAATTAGTTTGGTCAAGTTAACTTTTTGTTAATGTACTTGATCTAAGCAAAAACTTTGTTAGTTGCTTTCTAGTACCATTTTGTATTGCACCATGATAAAAGCTACTATGTCTATACTAAAGCAGTTTATATTCACAGAACTGTTAATTAATAAATTTTTGACTTACTGTTCACTTTTTCTTTTCCAAACTTAGGAAAGCAAGTTTAAATCTTATACGTAAAATGATTCATTATGCTAATGCTTCCTTGTTAATGGAATTTTCAAATAGTGATGTTGGAACTAAGAATTTTGCTACACTATTAACTGAGGTTATATCAAGTGTACTTGATAGCGAAGTGAGTATTGTATTTTTTTGCTTTGTATTTTTTTTAGTTCTTAAGAAATTTTCTATTTGTAAAAAGCGAAAATTTTTATGTTTATATATTGATTAGAATTAACTTTTTGCATCTTGGTTTATTGTATAAATGTTAATTATAAGGAGTTTTATATTATAAATAAAAGCTAACTGAAATGAAATATTTTGCTAAATTAACTAACTTTTACAAAATACATTTATTGCTTTTTTTGCATAAAATAATAATTTTATTTTGCAATTGTTATTATAAATAATGCAATGAAACTTGGTTATTGTGATTTCTGATTCAACAAGATAGTAAATAAACTCCAATCTGATGAAGAATTATTCATCAAATGGTTAGTTCAATATTAAATACTCTTTGTAAAATTCTGTTTTTCATAAAAAAAATTTTTTTGAAGCTCTCAGAAAAAATACTGTTGTTAAAAATTACTGTTGTTAAAGTAACAATCCCTTCAAAACAGTTTTAAAACTCGGATTTAGTAAAAAAAATTTAACACATATTTTGGCAATGCTGAAAAATAGACACATTGGAAAACTCTATATAATTAAAACTGATTGCTGATCTGATTGCAAACATTTCAAAAAGCTTAAGAAAAATAGAGAAGGGGTTTTAAAGAACAGATTTCATGCTTAATGCTGAGTTGATCATACTACCAGTGGGTAAAATTAGTAAGAGTCACCATTGCAATTTATGATAAGTATTTAAGTGATTTTCAACTCATTATTTTACATGATTTTCAAATCTTTTTTATACTATTTATTTTGACTTGATTTGCAGATTACATGTTGCAAATGAATCTCCATTTGCGAGTTACACACACGCTCCTGAGTCATCACACCAACCACATTTCATATACAAGTAACACATCACAATTCATATTTATGTAATTTAAAAATTAAATATCGCGATTCATATGCACTCAATTTTAATAAAAAACATTGCAATTCATAAGCATGAGATTAAAAGAATCACACATCACGATTCTTGTTTACTAATGTAGCGGTGACCATCATTTGCAAAAATTACAGCGCTATCCATTATTTATTTTTTTATTTAATTTTTAATATTGAAATACTGGATGTCAACTTTAGTTTTTCTTCTCTGATGTGAAGTACAAAAATATATTTATAGTTCTTTTTCTTATCTATTTATAAATAAATACAAGAAGGTAAGCTATTTTATCCTTATCCTACAAATTGTTTTAAAATCCATATTTCTTAATAAGCATTCATGCGATCTTAAAAGTCTTGTGAAAATCCCTAGCTATAACAGTCAATATGATGGATAAAGCCACACGATGAGCATTTAAATGGTTGCTAATTGAGAATCTAAAAAAAAAAATGATTCTTTAAGTGTATAGTTTGACATTTTTGAAAAAAATATTGTAATAAAACATCAAGCTTTTAAAAACCGCATGAAAATCCATAGTGAAAAAGGCCCAGTTAAAACCTGAAAGCTCGATTAATAAAACCCTGTGGATTTTTAGTAGGTTATTGATAATATATAACAAAACTGTAGGTTTATATTAATATATTTATGAAATTGTATGTTTAAATGTTGTACCTGGAAAAATTAAACACAAAACCACAAAAAATAATAATTTTTACTGTAAAATTAAACAGGTCTTCATTTTGCTGTGTGTAAGAGAAGTGTGTATGGGGATCCCAGTTGCATTAGAAGAAAACATGTTGAAAAAAAAAATCTAATTTTTAAAATTTTAATTTTAAGTCATATATTTCATCAAGGTGGTATTTAGATACTAGGTTCAAAAATTTTTTAAAATCGTATAACTTCTTCATGGCGTCCCCGATCTACTGTGTAATAACGTAGTCCTTGATTTACGTGTTTGGTAAACTTGTGTGTGTGTATATATATATTAACATCTGTTGTAAAATTTATAATGATATAATTTTTTAAAAGGAAGAGGAAGATGTACTACTACAAACATTAAATATAATTCATGATTTGATGGTAAAAGGAAAAGAAATTTATTTAGATCATTTTGCACGACTTGGAGTGTTTACAAAAGTTTTAGCACTTGCAGGGCTGAATGATAGTGATGATGAAAACAAAAAGATAAAAGATGATGGAGTAAGTAACACAGTTTAAATCATTCCTTTTATGATACATTTCTTTTGTCAAAGCTTTTTAATTGTATTGTAGTTTATTTTAATATGTTTAATGAGTACAAGTAACTACTGAAGTAGTTGCAGAAATAAATCATATATGGTCTGTTTAAATTTGATATAGTAAGGATTTTTTCATGCTTTTTTTAGGGAGAAAATATATTTGTATTAAAAAAAAGCACAGTTTAAGTGCCTTACACTCAAAGCAAAGCTTTAATTTTGAACTATAGATGCTATCTTTTTGAAAAGAGTTGACTAAAATTTAAGAGGACAACATTAAAAAAAAAAACATTTTAAACAATATTGAACTATTAAATTAAAAATATTCTTATGAGATTTTCGCACCTAAATGAAATGAAATTAAAAATTTTTCGATTTTTGCAGTTTTTTGCAAATTAAACAATAGTGTGTTAAAATAAGTCTACAAATGTTAAAAAATTCTGAGTTAGTAGTGGTTATGATATTCCCGATTTCCCCCTTAAATATATTGTTTTTATTTCTCCTGATTTTTTGCTCTTTGCTCATATATTCCTGATTTTTGTGTGTTCAGAACATCTAGATTTCTACAAATACAAATGCGAATTTTAAACTAAACAATTTGAGGAATGAAAATATTTTGATTTTTGATCCCACATATTTTAATAAATAGTGCTAGTAAAAATTACAAAATTCAAAAAGGAAACTTTGAGATTACCCCTAATTTTATACAATTGTTCAGGCATATTACTTTTCTGGCAGCATTCATTATTTCAAACTGTTTGGAAGTTCAGTCATTTTACAAAAAAAGGAACTTAATTTACAATTTTACATTATAAAATTTTTATGGTAATGAATTCAGGAATCATATGCCTATTTATCATTTTCAACAAATGTGGCAACAAATCCTTTATGTTGGAGTTAGTTTCACAGTCTTTCTTTCCTCTGATTTTAAAAATGATCAATCCCAACCAACAATATACAGTAATCATATCATAGAATTTTTAAATGGTAAATTTAAGGATATTCCATCAAACAACTTTCATTCAAAAATGTTTAGTTGCATATTCTTTTTATTTTTGTTTCAAAAATATTGAAACCGTACTTTGAAATTATGTGACTAAGGAAGTCTTGAATTCAGTTAAAATTTTGATTAAAATTTAACTGAATTATTGATATGAGCAGATATTAACTAATTGACACTGGCTATTTTTGTTTATGTAACAATACTATAAAATTTTTTCTATGTATTGATCTTAAATTACTAGGAGTTGTTCAGTGCTCCATTAATGCAATTGCACTGAAAACTTTCAAAATTGTCTGTTCTAAACAAATTAATTTTGAAAAGAATAGTATTTTATTATTCATTTGTGCTAAAATTAGCTGTTATTATACTTAGGTAGAGCAAATTATATATTTTTTGTTTGTTTGCTCTTTTTTAAGATAGTATGATATATGTTGCTGTTCCAAAAACATGTCCTGATATTTTTGACCCACTACAAGGCCTGAGAGATTAGATCACGGACTGTTCCATTGAAAAAAAGCTTTTATCAATGTTTATATTTTGTGCCATTTTTATAATCAACATGCTGGACACTTGATAGAAATAGAAATCAACAAAATTTGAACAGTTGTGGATAACTGTTGCAAAATCATGAAAGTTATAAAAAAAGCATGTTCATAAAATTTTATTTTATGTGACACCAGAGTTTTTGAAGTATAATCTTAAATAAAAAGGGATCCAATATTGATTGAATAATTGGAGTTAGAATCAGAGAAGATTTATCATTGCTAAGTGATTTATCTGTACTAAGTGAAGTTTTATTTAAAATGGAAATAAGTCTTTATTAATTTTATATTTAATAATATAAGTCTAAAGTTCTCTTTTAATTTTGATTATGTTTTTCAGTTGGTTGTAATAAAGTAGTAAAAAATGTTCAACTTGTAAAATACTAGAATAATAAATGCTACTATTACTGTATTCCTTTACTTTATTATTCTTTACCCTGACAACATGCTCCCTTAAATATTCTCATTTAATCAAGAGTAATTTGACTTTATAGTCCTTTTCAGATTTTACTGAAAATGTTCTAAGGATTTATTTTTGATGGGTGGTAATAGGAATAAAATTAGTTATTTAATTTATACAGTTATTTCTGCTCATCAAAGTTATGATACATAATTTTTTCTATTTCAATTTAAGATTTAATGTACTTACTCTAGGATGAAGATTTTTTAATGGAAGATACTAAAGAAATTCTTCCTGGTAAGCCATACCATTGGCGAGATTGGAGTATAGTACGTGGTCGGGACTGTTTGTACTTGTGGAGTGATGCTGCTGCATTAGAACTATCAAATGGCAGTAATGGATGGTTTCGTTTCATACTTGATGGTAAATTAGCCACAATGTATTCTAGTGGTAGTCCTGAAACTGGATCTGATAGTTCAGGTAAAGGAATTTACTGTTTTTATAATTCATTCATTTTTGTGGTACAAGTTTAGTCACTAACTTTTGTCTATTTAGAAAATCGAGGTGAGTTTCTAGAAAAGTTGCAACGTGCTAGAAGTCAGATTAAAACGGGATCTCCAAGTCAGCCTATTCTTTCTGCTCCTGGTGCTGCTCGCTTAGTTGTTGGAAATTGGTCTTTGTTTTGCAAACGTGATGGAGAAATAAGCATACACAATTCTGATGGCCAGCAGGTATTTGTCTAAAATAAAGTCATTTTGTTAAATTATTTTATAGTATGTCTTGCATTCTTTATTGCTATAGAACTCTGAGTTTTCAGATTATTTATTATTCAGCAAATTCAGTTTAGACATTTTTATTTTAATTATTAATTATTAAAATATTATGTCCCAAGTTTAAAACTTTTTGTATTGATTACCTAATACATTAAATGTCATATTTAGGTTGAAATATTAGTTTTTGTATTAAAAGTATTTTGCAAATTTTTTAATCAGCAAGCTACTGTGCTGAAGGAAGATTTACCAGGCTTCATTTTCGAGTCAAATCGTGGTACTAAGCATTCTTTTACTGCTGAAACATCCTTAGGACCAGAATTTGCTGCTGGATGGGCTGGAAAGAAAGGGAAGCGCCTGAAATCCAAACTTGAAGCCCTTAAGCAAAAGGTAATCTTTAACATTAAGTTGATGTGTCAGCTTTTAAATGTAGTTGAGATATGATTCTTTGCTCTTATTATTTTTTTTCGAGGTAAATGTAAATTTAAAAAATAACATAATTAATTCAACATATCTCAGATGTACCATTATTCTGTGAATTTGTGGAATTTCTCTTTTTTTCATCTGATTTCCATCATAAGACTTGTAACAATCTAAAATTGCAAAAATTTGAAATGTTGAACTGGAAGACCATTCACATTATACAATTGTACAATAGTATTTGAAGTATCTCATTGATTCTAACCAATTTGTTGTTTCAGTATATTTTTTATGACTGATATTTTAAAGACAGGACTGCTATTGGCTACTAAAAAGGCGACTAAAACGACTATTTTGGAGAAAGGGCAACTAATTTCTCCAAAATTTAGGCAAAACAACTATTTTGCTTGCGATTTAAAAAATAGCCGACTTTTTTTACTGATTAACTTCTGAAAAATTAATTCAGAATTTTATTTCCCTTGTTTCATTATGGTTAAAATTTGAAGACTTTTTGCTATGTCTATTATCTATATTTATCCTCATGTACAAGTTTTTTTTCTCACTCCATTTGACCAATGCAACGACCATGGAATGTTTCATGCCACTAAAGTGAACTACTGCAGTGGACCATTGCAGGAAAAAAAATCTTCAAATCTGTTAGTTTTTAACAAATACATATTAATATGACAGTTATAAAATTTAATTTAATGTTATAGGAAAGTATAGTTGAGTTTGTCTTAGATTTCTTTTTCCTTTCATGTAAACACTATGTTTTTAGTTCATATGAGTGTTCTTTGCCCATTATTTTTAATGAGGAAGCAAAATTTTTAGAATTGTTTTTGGAAATAATAAATTATGTATTTAGTGATAATGGTATTTAGAACTTGTTTATCCTAATGATCACTTGTAAAACTTTAGTCATCAAGTAAAACATATTAAATATTTTTATCTCCAGTTTTACTGTATTTTGGTTGTTGTAATTTCATTTTACTTAATTTCAACTGACCGTTTATTCACTTAACTGTTATATTTAATTTAGGATATGTGTTATATCTGATCCATTTAACAAGATGACTATTTATTACTTTTATTAAATCCTAGTTATTTCTTTTAGTTCCTAATATAATTTATTTAAAAATTTATTTAAATGACATAATTCACTAGTCATTGTAGGACTCACATATACTTTTATTCTGTGTAATTGAAATTGATCTCTACTATTTTGTTACATTGTCCTCACTTCTTCAACCTGCCCTTTCATTCATAACTTTCTAAAAATGAATTAAACTTCTGAATTGACATTTTTCTGTAGATTCTAAAATTTCTGATCCATTTATATTGGTGTTAAAGAATTAAAATTTGACTTACGTGCATGAGAACAGCTTTGTAGCAATTATTGAAAGAAAGCAAGAAACAATCTATTTGATGTTAAGTATATATATATATATATATGGGATTGGTTGAGCTGCAAATAACAATCAATGAAACTGTATTAAAATGATAATTGAAAAATGAATGTATGAAAAAAATCAAATAGTTAACTACTGATTAAATAATTATATTAGGGAGACTATTTTATGTTTCTAGCAATTATTTTAAAAACTATTTTTCGTATTTGAAGCAACTAAAGCAACTATTTGTGAAGTTTTACCCCAGTGTTAGCCTTCTAAAGAAGAAAAAAACTTGATTAAATAAACTGTCTTCTGAATTTTTTTTTTTATGAAGAACTATGAGTCTTGTACTTATTTACTCTTTTTAGTGATGAAATCAAATCTTGTATGATGGAAAAAAATTTTTGTAAAAATTATGTTGCATTGATTACTAATTTATTAATCAAACTATTTTTAAATTGTGAGGGGTCATTCACAAATGAGTTTTAGAAATTAGTGAAGACCTTTAATTAAAAATATCAAATTCTGGATAAGTATATGTATTAATGGTGGGTGTGATTTAAGTTAAACTATTAAGCGAAGAACAAATTATTCATGAATGAATAAATACTAAAATTTAAAATATTCTGTTAAATGGATATAAAATATTTAAAAAAAATTACTGGCCAAATATAAAATTCAAAGTATTGCTTATGTGAAAAATTTTGTTTAAATTATAAAGAATTTTACAGAAATAGAAAAACATTTTCTAAAAATGCTGGAAGTAAATGGATTGAAAATTTAAATATAAAACATGAGACAAATGAAAAAATACAAAGAATAGATAAACTCACCTCATGTTTATTCACAAACCATTTAAAAAAAATAAATTAAGTCAACTTGATAGATGATTAATTCGCAAAACATCTTTTGTTTTATATGTTCCAGGATGTATAATAAATGTACAAAAAATTAACTACAATGCATGAAGATTGAGCATGGATTGTTCAAGAAAAATGTATGAATCGTAACACTTGGAGACATACTATACACATTTTTAGACATACTATGCGCACTTGTAGACATACTATGTGCACCCCCAATGCACCTCAGTGCATCAGGGCACACAGCCACGCCAGAATAGAAATCGTTTTTTTCAACAGGGGGAAAAGATAGACTCCCAGAACTACCATGTTGCCATCACTTTTAGAGTCTATCTTCGTGACGACAAGAGTGGGTGTGTCAGTTGTAGTAAGGTGGCTTCTGTGGGTGTTGGCTGCTCCTATAAGATCCGTCCAATGCATTTTTTTGCGTTATTGTTAAACAAGTATTTCACTTCAAAGCATTTTACAATATGATAATTAAATAACAATTTTATGAACAGAATATTAAATATTCAGATTCTGTTAGTAAGAAATGAATCCAATTTAGATTTCAAAATGACATTTTCAAACATTTAACAGAAGAGTTAGATAACTTAAAGTAAAACTACATAATATTTGTAAATGAATATTTTTGAGTTAATTTATATTTTATTTAATAGAATATTTCTTTTAAAATTTTATTTATATGTTATTGTTTGATTTGTAATTTGCAGAAAAATTTTTTCGAAGTTTTTCATTATCATGCAAAGTTTACCACATTTTTTTCAAAGCTGCTATGCCTAAGATTTTCAAATCTTTCATGAAGTAGGAACATGACATATAATAAACAATTGTTATACAGCTGTTTCAAACAGAAGTGAGCGATTCTATATAATTAAGGTTAAATTAATTATGTTTAATAATAAAATTTTGTTGTTCATGCTAATAAAAGTGTCGAATAATTTGAGGGGCAGATTATTTTTTAGTTATATGAGTCAGTTTTTCTTTCACAGGGTGGCCACTCACTCTGGAAACCGGGAATTCTCAGGGAATTTTGAAATACCATTAGAAAACCGGGAATTCTCAGGGAATTTCACGTTGATTCTGGAAAATAATTTTGTTGCGCATTGCTGCTCTTTTCTTCCCATTCCGTTATGTTTAGTTTTTCGGAGCGAAACGCGTCTGCTGCATCGCGATCAAGCATCACGTGATTATCCTCCACTGAACGCTTCGTGTCCTTGTGCCTCTTTGTGGATGTTGGAACTGAAGAACAAGAATCAGTAAGAAAATCGGAGCAGTGTTCAAAGGAAGTTCGTTCTGGAATGATATTGGTAAGTTTTGATTTTTGTATTCTATTAATTTTATAGGATAGCAATTTTTTTGAGAATTGAAATAAAAATATTTAAAAGTGCTTTAATTTATGTATAATTTATGTAAATAAGCTATAATTATGCTTTAATTTATGTAAAATTTCGAATCCATATTTGACCATTACAAATTATATCGAGAATTCGAATTAAAATAATATTCTGATTTAAAAATCTCGAATAAAAAACTGATGTTCTTTTATTATTAAATTAATTAAACTATTTTTCGTTTTAAGCAAACGTCTATTGTAGAATTTCGAATATTTTTTGCTTTATTAATTTTTAGCTTTTTTGTGTAAATTTTATTATTTTTCATTGAGCATCCCGATTTTAAAACAAAAAAATTTCCTTATAGAAAACTTTTATTATTTTTCAGTAGCTTTGTACTTTTACGGCAAGAAATTGAATTTTGAAATAAAAAAAATAATAAATAAAAAAATCATTGATGTACACAATTTAAAGTAGAAAAAAAAAGTAATGGATTTTTTCTTTGATTAATAATTTAATCTAATTATTTGTTTATGATTTCATTTGAAACAAAAATTTTATCGTAAAATTATGAATTAATATCGGAAATTAAGTATAATTTGAGAGACAAGTACATCGATTGAGAGATTTTGTTTTTCTATTTTCCAGTAACTTTACATTATTTGATATTTATTATTTTCCCCCCAGAATTCCAATTTCAATTTAAAAATTGTTATCTAGGGACATTTTTTTAAATTATTTTTCAGCAACTTTTTATTATCTAATTTTACATAGAAGTTTGAATGGTAAAATAAGACAAAGTTATCGATGTACACAATTAAGAGTAGAAAAAATTAGGCTAATTTTTTTTTCCTTATATTAAAATTTTTTTATTAAAATTGATTGTTGAATATTCATTAAAAAAAAAATTTTATCGTGAAATTTCGAATTTTTTTTGGAATTTAGGTATGATTTGAATGATAAATAAATTGATACCGTAAACCGGGGCGAGTCTACCCATTTTTTCAGTTTGTCAACTTTCAAGTGGTCAAACTTTTGTAAATATTAAAGAAAAAAGCCCTTTAATAGGTGTTTCGGAATCGCTATTTATCCCTCTTTAAAGCTGTGAAATCGATTTTAGAAAATATTAACAGTTACGCTGTTACTGTATATTTTTATAGAACTGCTGACAAATCTCTCGTATGGGGCGAGTCTACCCATTCTACTAAAATGAATGTTAACATTGTAAATAATCAAATTTTACTATTAAATTGTTATTTTAGTTACTATATAGGATATTTATGAAGTAAAATTCATAACTTTATTATATATTCCATTTTTTTATTCATAAAATAACACAAATTGAGTATTTGATCGATTATCACATTTTGATCACAGTTTTGTTTTTATAATCATTAACATTATAAAATAACATTTTTTTCTGATTATTGTTGATAAAAATAAATTAAAATTAATATAAATTTACAATTAAATAATTAATAAATAATAATAATTAAAGATTATTAACAAAATCGAAATTCAAACATTGGGAATCATGAAAAATCCTTTTCCCATTCTTTTGGGAGGTAATAATAATTTATAAATAATAATTTATTTAACTTGCATTAAATAAAAAAAGTTAATTTTGTAATATAAAAATTGAAAAAATAGGTAAAATAAACATATTTTATATTTACATTTATATTTAACCTATAAATTTTCTTATTAATGATAAATTTATCAATGCAGAATTAAAATAATATACTCAAATTCATTTAAAATGACTTAATTTTAATATAAACAAAGTTCTAAATTATATTATTATGCTTTATTAAAACTAAATACGAATGGGTAGACTCGCCCCGCGAATTCTGGCTTTTTGTTTACAACAGCAAAACTTACATTCTTTTTGTTTTTTTTTATATAAAATTAATGTAATCTTAGTCTTAGATAAGTTTATCACTTAACCAAAGTGAAAATAGTAATAATAATAATATACTTACGGAGCACCAACTAAAAGTTTGCTGATTTTCAATACAAATCTCTCAAAAGACGTTTGAACAGGTCGGTTAAAAAGACACCAAATAAATAAAAACGGATCAAACTACTACAGCGCCATCTTCCTTAGAGTCTGAACTAAGTCCTCCATTGGTAAAAATTTTTTTATTTGCAATTTAAAATAGTGAAAATTAAATAAAACTAAAATGGGTAGACTCGCCCCTGGATGGGTAAACTCGCCCCGGTTTACGGTAGTGAAATTTTGTTTTTGCTTTGTTACTTTCCAGTAACTTTTATTACGCGATTTGTATTATTTTTTATTGAAAATTCTAATTTTGAAATGCTAATTTGTTGTTCTAACGAGAGTTCGATAGCTAATTTTTTTTGGATGTTTTTAAATAAAGAAGTAAATAAATGCGGATATTTGATGGAGAAAATGAATGATGGATGGATTTATTTACGGCACACTAGAGTTACACAAAGGGCAAATAGGCCAGAAATTAAGGTAGATGCTTTGTAACCAAGGTGGTCATTTATCATGGTTAATGTTTTTAATTGACAAAAAAAATTTTAGATTGTTTTTTATTTTCCTCAGAACAACACCTTTTTTCACTTATTCATTTTTTGAGATTAAAATGAAAACATTCATTTATTTTTCTTAGTGCAGTTATCATCTGCTATGATAATAGTTAGCTAGTGGAGTGCATTAAGTATCTAGACCTTTTCTCAAAAGATGAGCGGGAATATTTAACAATGCTGATTTTTTGGTAGGTTACTAGCCCCTTTATTGATAGAAAAAGCTTATTAGAAGTTTTAATACATTTATGACAAGATTTTTAGTTAGAATGTGACTAACTAAATTCTAATTTGGAATGTGATTAGCTAAATTCTATTGTTTTTAGCAGATTTGTAGTCTGTTTTTCTGTAACCTTTTTTCGGTAGTTAAATTTATTTTCAAAATACAAATGAAAACAAAGTGTTTATTAAGATTTTATTTTTAGGTGGCTTGAAACGATGGCGCCTGGTTTTAAAACATCATTTAAGACAGAATGGATGGAAATTCCTCATTATGCCCCATGGTTACGTGAGTGCCTGGCTGTCAAATTTTCTGCAGTGTGTAAATTATGTAATTCTGTATCTTCCCTGAGCAATATGGGAAAACAAGCACTAACTAGTCATCAGAAATCCAGGAAACACAAAAAAGCCATTATTAGCAGAAATATGTTTGATGACTTAAGGAGTGCATTTGGTGAACAAGATTCTACTACCAAAAACCTTGTATTAAATTCTCTAAATGAGCTAACTAAAAAGGATGCAACATTAGTTTCTTTTCTGAGATCAGAAAGTGTATCAGAAGCAGATATCTTGTGGTGTTTGTATGCAGTGATGGAACACTCTTCTTTTCGTTCTGCGGGTCGGGCAGTACTTTAAATGAAAAAAATGTTTACTGATAGTGAGATAGTGAAAAAAATATCTCTACAAAGAACCAAAATAACATACACCTGTGTTCATGGTATTGCTCCATATTATAGGGAGCAATTGCAAAAAAACCATAGCTAGCTGTGATTATTTAGTTATGGGCTTTGATGAAAGTCTAAATAAAATCGCTCAGAAACAACAAATGGATGTAAGTGTTCGACTTTGGAATAAAGATACAAATAAAGTCCAGACACGATATTTGACATCAGTATTTCTTGGTCATTCGACAGCAAAGGATTTGTTGGATTATTTCAAAGAAGCCCTTGCCCAATTTTCCATCAATAAAAATTAAATAATTCAAATATCTATGGATGGACCTAATGTCAACCATAAATTTCTTAATGATCTTAAAAAAGAACTTGAGTAAATGCCGCAAGATCCTGTGCTGTTAGATATAGGTAGCTGTGGACTGCATACAGTCCATTGTGGATTTAAACATGCAATAAAGTCTACAGGGTGGAATGTAGTGGACTTTTTACAGTCGCTATACTACATTTTTAAAGATGTAGCATCACATAGAGCTGATTTTATATATTTCACTGGATGTGAAAAATTTCCAAAGAAATTTTGTGCAATCCAATGGGTTCAAAATGTAGAAGTTGCTGAGAGGGCATTAGAAATGTTGCCTCATATTTTCAAATTTGTAAAAGCAGCAAAGGAGAAAAAAATCTATGTTGTCTCAAAAAATTTCAGTGTACTCTCGGAGTGTATCAAAGACAGTTTCTTTGCTGCAAAATTGGCATTTTTCCAGTCATTAGCTGCTTTTATTGAACCATTTCTCACAGAATTTCAGAGTGATGCTCCATTAGCTCCTTTACTTTTCTCTAATTTAACATCAATTTTTAGATCTCTTCTTGATAAATTTGTAAAACCCGATATTTTAGTGGAGAACTCTTCAAAATTAGGAAAAATAGATTTGTCACTGGTTGCAGTTTTCAGTTAAGGATGAAATAAGGAAAATAAAAGATTCTTCACCTTCTGAAGAATTTTCATTTAAGAAAGAATGTGCAATTGCTTATAAAAAATTCTGTGAAAAGATTTTAGAAAGATCACCTTTAAAATTTCAGTTAACAAGGGGGCTATCTTGTCTTGATCCTGGTGTAATTTTAAATACAGCAATTGCTGAAAAACGGCTTTCATCTTGCCTTTCAATGTTGGTATCTAGCAAGTGGATATCAGGTATCAAGGCTGACAGTGTGAAAGATAGTTACAAAACGTTCATTCGGAATCCTATAGTTAAGAAAGAAATGGAGCAATTTGAGAAGAGGGAAAAACGACTGGATAATGTTTTCTTCTCTCTATTTGAAGTTTGCAATGCACCAGAAAATGTACGTTCCTTTGTTAAGTTTTTCCTCATATTGTCACACGAAAGTGCTTTTATAGAAAGGGGCTTTTCTATTAATTCAGATTGTTTAATAGAAAATCAACATGAAGATAGTTTAGTTGCTCTAAAGCAAATTCATGATGGTGGTGTTGACAATATAACTGTGACGAAATCCATGATAAACTACGGAAAACAGTCTCACACACGTTATATCGAAGTATTAGAAAAAAGGAAGGAGGAACAGAAGAAAAAAAGAAAGTTATGTTAGAGAAGAGGCAAAATGAAAAATTAAAAAATGAATTGCATGCTAAAAAACAAAAATTAACGGCTGATTTTTATTTAGAAGCTTCTTTAATTGATGAACAATTAAAAGCTATAAGAAATTAATTTTTAAAAGCTTTTAATTATTCACTTGTTGAGCTATTTATACTGTGTATTATTATTATTTAACTCCACTTTTTAAAACATCTCAAACTTAAGTGTCAAAGAATATATTAATATATATATAAGTATATTTTTTATATTTATATTTAAAATAAGTTTCCCAGATAATATAAGTGAACAACATTATATGACTAAATATTTTTGGCTTTTAATTTATTGATAATTTATTTCACAAGTAATTTCGATCTCAATTCTAAATTTTTAGTTAGATGGATTTGATCAATTTGTGTAATAAGCTATTTATATAACAACTTTTTATTTTATACAAAATAAAGTTTCTAAAATTCCTTGAAATGTAGATTTTTATTTTTATAAACTATTATTAATTTTTAAGTTTATTTTTATGGTTGAGTATACAGCACTTATTTTTTTATATGTAAATTTTATGGTTGCTATTTCAATAATCTGTATTTTTAGCAGAAATATGTGTATTAATATATATTTTTTGTTGCTAGAAATGCCTAACTTTTTACACCTGCTTTAGAGAACATTTACACTTTTTTCCTCATTTTAATGTGTCATCAGATCTTGTAAATGTGTATCCACATTTGTAAAAGAAATTCATACGACACATTTTAAATGCAACACAGCTGTATATATAATTTTTTTTTATTTACTGTATATTGTTGTATAACTAATAAATTTATGAAGTCTCATTAATGTTGCGTTGTGGTATCTGGATTTTTAGAAATTTACTCTGGAAAGTCTGGAAAACTCAGGGAATTTTTTTTGGTCTGGAGAGTGGCCACCCTGTTTCAGAAATTGAAGTAAAATATTTTTTGTTTGATAATTTATTTCTGATAATAATTATAATAATTTTTCATTGATAAAAATATTTACATTGTTTACTGTTTACTTTTATTAATTACCTACTGTACAGCTTTATGATATGTAGATATATATGGATGAAATATATCTAAATACTGTTAAACAAAGAATATGATATGTCACAAAGATATTTATGAGTATTAATAATTCTATGTGCTGAGAGCTCTTAGTAATGAAATTCTACTACATACAGGGCTGATTGTGCTCCGGAAAAAATCCGGATTTTTGGATTTTTCGCTAACAGTGATCCAGAAGTTTCCGGAGATCGAAGGTCTAGACTTTTCAAGAAATTATTGATCACAGAATTTCCAGAAATAAAATTTTCAAAGATGGAACTTAAAGACGCAGTTTATTTGTTTGTAAGGGAGAGCCAGATACTTTATAAGCTTATATTCATGATTAATATTTTTTTGTCAGTAAATAGTTATTATAATCATAAACTTAAGAAAGCAAGACATATTTGTAAACTTTAATTACTTCTCCAGGTCATCATAGGTATGTGTAACTCAAGAAATTTTCCGGAATTTTGACTTGGGCTCACAATCACCCCTGTATATATGTAATTACTGTTTTTGAAATGTCTATTTCATATAAAATCTTTGTATTTACTTTTTAGGATAAATATTTAGTGGAGAAGAGTTATGATTTACTATTCTAATTATTTATGAAAATCTGTTTTCATTAATTTTAGGTAAAAAACCAAGCTAGGGAGCTCTATGACGTTTATTTTAAATCTGCCCAAGCTCATCCAAGAGGAATGGTAGCAAAATTATGTAATATTGTTGGCCAAATTGAAAGGGCATGTACTAAACAAATGTCCAACTCTAATTCTAATATGCTTGCTGTAAGTTCTTTTTATTCTTGAGTTTTTAGAATTAATTTTGAAATGAACAGACATTAATAATGGAGAAATAATCTTAACATATTAACTCTATAAATTGAAATATGTAATACATTTTTCTTTTTAAATAATGACATTCAAATAAAAGATGTAGATATATAATTAAGCTTGTTCTTTTTTGATAATTCTAGAACTATAATTGTTTGTTTTTTTAACAAGTTCTGTCGAAAATATTTCATTGTACTATTAAAGTTATACTTTACTACCTTGTTTTCATCATTCAGTTAGTCTTTGTATATCAAAAAGCAGTTTTGTTTAATTTTACTAACGGTAAAATTTATTTGAGTGAACCAGATTTTTTCAAAAATGATAAATCTAGAAATAAAGTTATACTTAACCAATATCATTATTTTTATAACTTAAAATAATTATATATTATGAATCTTTCATCTTAATAATGTAAACATTATGTAGTACCATTACTATTTTCTTTATTTGCTCACATTTTATGCTGCTTTATGTATTTATTTTTTAACTAAATATGTTACTTATTAAAAGTTCAATTTTTATGCCTTTTTAATTAAATGTTGCAGTTTTTTATATCTTCTTTTTTAGGCCAATGATTGGAAAGTCATTTTGATGGCTGCTCTTAATGATATGACTTCATTGTTGCATGATGAAAGAGCTGTATCTGCATATGAATTATATAGTAGCGGTGTAGTTCAAGCTTTATTAAAACTCCTTGGCAAAAATGTAAGTATTCATTTATTACCTTTTTTTATTTTTTTATCCTTTATTCTCCCTTTCAGTCCCAAATATTTATTTTTCAATAAAAAAATCTGAAATTTGTAAAACTGACTCATTTTGCATTCAAAAGAACAAAACAAACAGATTTTTTTTTTTTAAATTTCTTTAATAAAATTTTAAATGATTCCAAATGGCATCATTGGGAATAAAGTAGTGAAGGACGAAAATCACTAGAAAAGTTTTTGAATATATATTATGCATTATTTAAAGATTTATAACTATATAAATGGGGTATTTTTTAATAACTAAATAAATTATAACTATTCTGCAAGAAATATTTGGCACTATTATATTTATTACACATTGAAAAAAATTGAACCAATTTTCATCATTATTGATATGGTTAGATGAGAACCTTATTATTTCTCAGTATTACTTATTTATTTTACATGAAATGTTTTAAAACAGTTCTTAGTATTGTTAAGACAGGTATGCATTGGGGTGCATCCAGAGCCGGATTATACCTTTCGTAGGCCCTAGGCATAGC